AAATGCGGGGGACCAGCAGTAAGGGGTGGACCCCCAGCCTAGACGTGGGCTGCTGGGTGATTGGCCGAAAGGAAAAAAAAAAAAAGAAAGAAAATTGGGGAATGGCGTTTCGGCGCACGTCACTGGGGGTCGACCCCCAGTGGGGGTCCTGTAGCAGGATTGCATTGCAAAATGCTTAATCCAAGATTAAAAATAAAAATTAAAATAACTACAAACACAACTCTTTCAATATTTTGTTAAAATAGGAATTATTTCGTATATTTAAAACAAATTATAAATATACATATTTTTATAAAATAAAATTAATTGAAAAAATAATTTTTTAATTTTTCTTTTATAAATATTAAATAATAATGCTAGGTTATCAATTTTTTTACTAAAAAATTCTACAATCATCACATGAGTGATTTTGATAGATTTTTTTAATATTTATTTTTATAATCCTACCATTTTTTATAATAAATTACTTAATATTATTAATTAAAATATATTTATGAATTTAAATAAAAAATTTAATTGAATTGATTATTTATTACTCAATAGACCATTTGTTATGAATTTAAAAATTTTAAGAAATGAATGTAATTTTTAAAACATATAAAGTAATTCATATTATTAAATGAATTTTTGAGATGGAATTTGTAATTTATCCTTAAAATAGGAGTTTGGAATTTGAATCTTAAATTTGTGCAGGGCTGGGAAAAAAACTAAGATAGTGTTGGTTTAATTTTTAAAATAATATTTGAATCAAAAAACTTAAAAAAATATAATTTGATTAACAATTTTTCAAAAACTCTTTTCAAAATCTCTTCTCTCTCTTCTCCTTTTTTTATTAATAAATTAATCAATATCTTTTTTTTCTCTCCCCTCTCCCTTCTCTCATTCTCTCTCTCATTCTCTCACATTCTAACACACAATCAAATCAAGATTTTTTTCACACTATTCTATTTAATTACACAAAAAAAAAATTCCAAATAATTTCCAAAAAACTCATAATCAAATAAATTTTTAATTTTCAAACATCTTTTTTAACTACTTATTTTCAAAATAGAACTCAAACTCAAATTTTTTTTTTTTTTTTCAAAACTAAACGCAAATAGAACCCTGGTTACTTGTGCTATATGTACACACCATAGATTTCGTTTTGAATAATCAAACAATTAATTGTAGGCCCTCGTATATATTATTTATGAAAAAATTAGATCATTCGATACATGTAGACGTCAAAAAAAAAAAAAAAAAAAAAAAAAAAAAAAAAAAAAAAAACAATTTTATTTTTATTTTATTTATAGACAAATATGATAAATGATAATAGTAACATTTTATTTTAATTGGTTTCTCTCAAAAAAATGAATGTCTATGATTATCAAATCAACTTTAGGCATCATTTGAGAACAGATTATTTTAGTACTTTTTGAATTTTTTCGGCTAAAATATGAGATAAAAACTAGTATGTTTGGAATAACTTTTAATTTTTTAACAAAAAGATTGCAAAAAGTAAGAGAGAAACCTCGAAATGCTTTTAAACTTTTTTGGTATAATGGTTATAGATTTTTTAATTTTTTTCGTATTTTTTTGACTTTTAGGCCTAAAACAGATCACTTGCCAAACGAGGCCTTAGGGTTCGTTTGGGAAGAAACTTTTTTAGCCTTACTTTTTAATTTTTTGGCTAATTTAACCTGGTTTAAAATAAGCTCCGTTTGGGAAGAATTTTTTTTTACTTTTTTGCTTTTTATGACAAAAAAAAAAGTAAAATGATTATGATTTAGATGTAATTTTATTTATCGATTTAATTAGCTATATTTTATTTTTGTGTTTTTTTAGTTC